AAACCCCAAAACCCCAAAACCCCTAAAATCAAAATTTCGGATTCAAAATGTAATTTTAAAATTTTAAATTATTTCAGATTATCCTAGCCAAATATAAAATGTCAAGATTTATCAAATTTCTTAATTTCATAAAGGAATAAGATAAATTTGGGTATCCGATCTCTCTCACCTATTAAAATAGCTCAACATTTAAGTCTTTATTTGGTGGTATGGTTACTCTTCTCTTTAGAATAGGAATACTAGTATTCTTCCTTTAAGAGATAGTAAAGGTTATTAACAAATAATTCACAATACAGATAAATAATATAACAAGGAATCTTTCAACTGAAAATCCAGAAATCCATCTTAATAAAGATAACTTTGATATTGCTTATTAAGTAATGTCTCTGAATCAAACACTACTAGATAATTTAAGTATTTATGCATTCGTAGCAATTGGACCAGGAAATTATGGTTGGAAAGAAGATGGAACTTATTATGTAGACAATTTTACACCTAGTCCTGTTAGTAAATGCAAAGAAGGATGATTTATAAATACAAATAGGCAAGCTTATGATCTAAGTGTTTTTTAAGCATACTATTGTCCAGATAATCTTGATTTCATTATTTCTGGAACATCTGCATCAGCACAAATTTATTACTATTAAGTATCGATAGAGCGATGTGGGAGTGAAGTTGACAATAGAAATATTACATGCGCAAGTAAAACTGAGATTGATCGAGCTTTAGATTAATTAGAACTTTAAGTTTTATTAATTACTCAGATTCCAAATATTAATGACTTCTCTGATAATCCCATATAAAATTACATTAAACTAGTTTATGGCTAATGCTCATCATTAAGTTCTTAATCTTATGATATGAAGTTTAGTTAAAACTATATGGTCTACAGTAATTCCTGGTTTTCAAATGTATTTTAACAAAAAAATAATACATATCAATCAGTTAGAGAAGATCATTATTATGCAGGAAGATATTAGTATCCATAACCTTTGGCCTTCTATTTTTATTTTGATGACATTTCAATAACAACAATTAGAACAACTTACTCCTTAGCTGATGTTTTTGTAAACACAGGAGGTTTGCTGGGAATAATAGAAGTTACTATCGTTTTGCTGATTAGTGAAATATAAAAGAAATTGTTTTAGCAATCAATAATAAAAGATATTTTTCATATAGACAGCAAATATGGAAAAAGTAAAAATTTGAAAGAAATTATTAAGATCAATAAAACTCCTAATTCAGAAGTTAAATAGAGAACATAGAAGAATGAAGATCCAATCTGTAAAGGCATTCTGAATGATATTAAGAATAGAATAAACTTTTAAGTAAGTTTGTTTGAACGTTTTATGCTTAGCCTACCTTGTTTAAGAAAACGATACTCAAGTATTCAAAAATAATGAAAATTACTTTTCAAAATCGCAAAGAATAGATTCAATAAAAAATTAGAACTAATAAACATTTTTTAGAATATCTAAAATTCAAACTTCCTATACAAAATCGTACTTAAAAAATACCAAAGATAAATGACTCCTTATTTCAAAGCAAATTTGATTGAACTTGAGAGAATAGAAGATAAGATCTAAAAGAAAAAAGATACTTTTAAGTTAACATAAAATGAAAACCATTTATGGGGTTAGCTCTCAAATTATAAAAAACAATAGCATAAGCTGTTTGTTAAATAGATTGTATATAATGCTAAGGAAGTAGAAGTTGATAAAAGAATACTGAAAAATTTAATAAGTTCTAAAAAGGCAAATAAAAATACTGATGATACTGTAAATTTAATCCAGCAAAATATGGCTAGGAACTTTGGCTAGCTATTTTATAGACCAGCCTAATAAACTAGTATTGCAGATAACGCTGATGTAGATAATTAATTAGATATTTCATAAAATGATTAATTTAAGAGCAGATTTAAGTAAAGATTTAGCAAGTTTATTATAAATGATACAAAAGCTGCTAAGCGGAGTAATAATCTTTGAAAAAACTTAAAATTAAGCTATAAAAATAAAACTATCTAATTATATAAATTTATTTATTCAAATTGAATAATTAAATATTTTATTTTACCATTTTATATATTGATTTTAATTTCGATTCAGGGGTTTTGGGGTTTTGGGG